AGGCCATAGCAGAGAGCTGGATTGGAAGAGGAGCAGCCGGAACCAGAACCGGCACCCATGAGGGATGCCGGCACCGCAGGCGGAGGATTAACCAAGTGAGCCACGGTGCCAGCTCCACCCCAAGTGGCATTTTAAGCACTGTATCAGACAGTTCCCCTAAAATTTATCTTTTAATACATTTTCCAGGGACATTTAGAATTACCCCCATACTTCTCTAATAAACATCCACCATAGACTATTTAAATATCTTCATTTCAAAAGATTGTCTAAATTCTATAGAGGCAGCAGTGCCATTTTGATAATATCTGTATACCTTACTGTATCAAAACATACAGTGGATGTTCCACAAATCAGATTGAATTCAATTCAGAATTGAATTGGTTTGCCATGATCTCAGGAAGGAAGCGCTCCATAGACATCACAGTTGACCCATTCATTTATTTCCTGTCCTCCTCTGTATTATGAAAAGAAAATAAATTTTTGTAGTTGTGCAAAATGAAAGAAAGGATGCAGAACCTTTAACATTTGAATTTAAGAGATGTTTTGAAGAAAAATGTAGGTTGTGAAATCATAAGCACATCATCTCAGATGAAAGGTCTTCAAAATCAAATGTTTCACATGATGAGCTCTTAACATGAAGATTTCTTAACAGGAGTTGCTACAGTAGACTAACATTGACTTTCTAACACCAGTGTTTCCATGAAGTAGCTAAGCACCCATGAAGATCTTATTTAAGATTCCTCATCTCAACCTACTTATTACATTGTGTACCTCCTATTACAATTAACTTTTTAAGTTGTCAATTTTACATACCAGATAGGTTGCATCTAAGAGTTATTGTTAGTTTTTCTAGAAGATTATGAAAGTAGTTGGGACATTATTAGGTAAGTCATCACCACCACTTTAACTAAATTATAGCATATGCAAAAGGTGGTTATTTTAATGGAGGATATATGGATAAGAAATACTATATTATATTTAATATTGAGATAATTTATAAAACAAAAATGAAAATAAGAGAAAAATCAAATGGGAGATAGTAGCTAACACTGTAGAATGTTTAGATAATACTATGAACAAAGAAATGCAGACTAAACTCCGATTTTTAAAGGGAAAGGATAAAATAAAAGTCCAAAAGTTTTATCTCAAAGTCAGATTACATTTAATGTAGTCTTTGAACTGCATTCATAAGAGAGAATAATATCAAAATATGATTTAATAATGTTAAAGATATAAAGCTGAGATATTTAGCAGATTGATAAAGTAATTGTATATCACATTCATTCTATTTTAACTTAGATTTCCAAAATATAAAACAATTAATTGATGTTAAAGGGACACAAAAATTTATTACTCAGCCTCTTGAGAAGAAAGTTTTTTATAAGTTGTAGGGAAGGATATTGGACAGTTATTTAGCAACGTTAAATTCAAGCAGAGTCAGACTCATTTCACTTTTGATAAACCCCCTGAAAATTAATTTTATGGCAATTGCAACCTCCTCTTTTTATCTGATCATTGAAGACATCAATAATACAATATTTATCCAATGTGGATTAAGCAAGTCAAAGTTTTAATATGTGTTAGTTATCCTACACACATAATAATGTTCCTTTAAATCCCTGTCCTCTTTCTTTTGTGATACAGGGTTTTGAAATTCATTGACTTTCAAGGCCTTGACATAGTGGGCAAAGCTGCCGCCTGCAGTGCTGACATCCCATATGGGCGCCTATTCTTACTTCCAATCCAGCTCTCTGCTATGGCCTGGGAAAGCAGTAGAAGATGGCCCAAGTGCTTGGGCCCCTGCAAGTGCCTGGGAGACCCGGAAAAGCTCCTGGCTCCTGGCTTCAGATCAGCGCAACTCCGGCCCTTTCTGCCATTTGAGGAGTGAACCGGCGGATGGAAGAATTCTCTCTCTCTGCCTCTCTGTAACTCTGCCTTTCAAATAAATAAATAAATCTTAAAAAAAGAAATTAATAGACTTTCATATATTTATATGTGTATATTGATCCATATATATGTATTAAATATTTAACTATCCTCCTAATATAGAATTTACATAATCACTTCCAAGAAGCCAGTGCTTCTATTATCTTAGCATATGCAAAACTCCATGATATAAATCCAGTCAACATGATTGTTTCCAGTTGAGAATAGATCAAGTTTATGTGGAAAACTCTGAGGATATTTTTTTTGAGATCATATCACCAACATTGTGAAACATTTTACAAATTACAAGGATGAATTAAGGGCAATTGGGCAATTTTAAGAGATAAATTTTAAGAGATATGATGCCTTTTCACTTTCTTGTGGATTACAATCCCTCTTCTGTTTGTCAAATGATTTTACACTAAATTATGAAGCATTAATATGGAGATCATCAAAAGTGCAATATGTGACTACAAATTTAATAGGGAAGTTATAAAATCAACTCTTTAAAATGCCTTCATGTAATAAGTTACAAATACTAGAGAGATAAATGTCAAATGGCATGATCGCAGAATTCACAAAATCTAGAACAAGCAGTTTTTAGTTTTCAGTCTGTGTGCCAGGCTTCTTACCTACTTGTCCTTCACAAAGTCTAACTACCTTCTTGAACTTAATCCTTAATTCTGTAATTCCTTGCAAATCTGTGAAAGTTCCCTGTCAGTGGAACAGCTGCTACAGCCAGCATTTATCAGTGCTGATTAGGTCTGTGAGGAGCTGCCACTGTTGTGCTGCAGATTAAACCACCACTTGTGAGCAGGCCTCCTGTATCACAGTGCTGGTTTGAGTTCCCGCTGCCCTGTTTCCAATCCAGTTTCCTGCCAGTGTTCCTGAGAAGGCAGCCGGTGATGGCTCCCTGCCACTCCCGTGGGACTCCAGCTCTCGGCTTCGGCCTGACCCAGTTTTGGTCTTTGCGGCCATTTGGGAAGTGAACCAGTGGGTAGAAAATATCTCTGTTTCCCTCTCTTTCTCTCTCTGTGGGTGTGTGTATGTGTCCCTCTGTCTCTCTTTGTCATTCTGCCTGTCACATAAATAAATAAATCTTTTTAAAAATGTAGGTATATGAAATTATTCTGCTAGTTGGCTAGAATGACTCTATAAATCCTTAGGAAAGCAAGCCTTAATATCATATGTGTGCAATACCATTTTTTTTAAAACAAAAATAATAATAATCTATATAAAAGTTATAAAATTTGATTCTTTCTCTTGCAATATTTAAAAAAATTGTGAAATGATTTGGCTGAGTTATGCAACTTCATAGAACTAGATTTTTAAATATATTATTAACAGAATTGAATTTACTAGAATGTTATAAATAATTTGATGGGTTTAAGAAAAGAGGAGTAGACTAAATAACAAATCATTTATCTCAAAGTGAATGTTTCATTTTTAAGTCATAAAATAGAACATCTTATTCTGAAGGAATAGCTATAAGTCAAATTTTGTGATATATAATTCGTAAAAGCTCACTAGTATCTTCCCTCCCTTAATTAATCCTTGCATATAAGATAGTTATTGCTATTTAAAATAGTCTGATAAAAATGTCATCTGTTGGTATCTCCTTCTGATATTTTAAAAAGAAACATGAAATTAAGCTTTACCTGCTTTTAAGAATACTGAGAAATTAATTGCTAATATAGAACAGATTGTTTACCATGATTAGTGTCTAAAATGAGTATTAAATGTTGTGTTACCTTGGTGAAACGTGTGTAGCGATCTACAAATGCAGATAACAGTTTGAAAATGATCCATTAATTGGTTGACCTATTTTGCCTGTGATATATGTTCCATTTATAATTTCCTTCTAATTGTAGCATGGCCAGATAGAGTTGTTCATCTGAATTTCTCAATGCTCCTTTAATCCTGGTTAGATGTTTCAGATGATTCACTTCACAGCTTAGTCTACACTCACACCTGAAGCATCAAATGGTATGGTAGGCATATGTTTTTTGTTATCCTTCAAAGTGAAATTATCTCATTATGAAAAGATAGTGATGTCAAGATAAAACAAGATCAATCCTTTGTTATTATATATCACCAAAGCATAAGTTATAAGTTTTTTTGAGGGCAACATGTAAATCTTAGTTTTCTTTGTATCTCAGGATCTCAATATAGCACCTGCCACCTCAATATTGCTGAATGAAAAAAAAAGGCAACAATAAATGAACACATGAATAGTGTTTTTAGTCTATACTGATAAGTTGAACCCACAAAGGTCTTCTCAATTTGGAAAAGCAATGCACTATTTTTGATATATGTTATGCTGTCAGAAGAAACTTAAATTAAAAACAGTTCAAACAGACAGGATACTGTGTTGGTTTGCAATTTAGAAGATGCGACCATGGCAAGTGAGATAACAGAAATATGAAATGAGTGGATTAAATGAGGAAACATACAAACAGCCAAATCCAATTTATAAAAAGAAATGTGTACAAGTGTTAGAACTTACCTAGTCATTTCTCCCACCACATCATAACTTAAAGACCAGGCTTTGTTTTGGTAAGCACATTTTAAAATTTGGTAAATACTTTAAAAATTCAATAGATTCTTGACAAATGTATAGAAAGAGTCAGTATTTTAAATTGCCCTGGTAAACATGTGTTTACTTTAAAATATCACTTACAAATATGTGCTTCCATCTCATATGTAAAATTATGAAAGGGATTAAAAATTGAATATTTTTGAAATTTTTTGGCATCTTATATCAAATTATCTTTCCACCAGTTGTGAATATTAAAAGGCACAAATATCATTAGGCTATAATGCCTGGCAGTTATCTGACTGGCCAACGTATCTAAGCCATCAGAAAGACTGCTAATCTACTTGTATTGAGAAACTAGTGGCATCTTTGTTAAGCAATTTTTTAAAATCTTACTTTACTAGAAAACAGATAATTAGCAAAAATGGTTATGATGCCACATTTGCTTTTCCAAAATAATCATGACCGGTGTCCCTGTGGTATGTAGTGTGTAACACATCACTTTCATATTAATGAATTCAAGGGAAGGCAACGCCACTATTAGTAATAGCTTTTTATTCGGAGTCCTCATTTTCCAGATAGGTCACATTAAACACAGCCATTAAACAATAGCGTTGAGATAAATCCATACAATGTATGCTGCTTTTGTTGTTGTTGTCCTTGTTCACCAATCACTTGGTGCAGCTAGGAACATTATGGAGCGATGGGGCTGGTACATGGGAATAGCTAACCTGCAAAACACTGGGGCCAGGAATGTCAGACTATAAGCAGGTTTCATTCAGTTATATTTCCAATCAACACATCTTGATAGCCAAAACTCCCATTCGAATCAATGCTGTCTGTTGTCAAAAGAATATAATTAGCCAATAACGAGTGGGCATATCCTATGCCAGACCTCAGTCTATTTATTGACTTCAACAACTTCTCCGTTAGACAGCATACAGCTTTTAACCTGGTTCTAATAAAGCATACTGCTCTATTACTACTTGACTTGCTTTTAGGATGCCATTTTTAAATTGAGTTATGTCTAGATCCTTTAGAGGGAAATTATGTTTTACAAGATCTCAGCTAATTTTGGAAAAGAAAACAAGTCAATTTTCCAACTAGAAATTCGTTTAATTTATGGAGAAGTGGGCCAATTTTTGTACATTGCCTGCAATAAGGATAAGGATGTCAGGTTAAGTAACAACATGAAAGCATTAATTGAAATCGCATGATATGTCTCTTTAATGTTTACTTTGGTATAGATATAACTAACACTGATTCTCACTACTTTTAACTTTGATTAAAAAGCTTTTTCATCACCAATGTTTAATGAAAAGATTTTGTTAATGATTCTTTTTTCATTTTTAGTTCATCAGCAAGCAATTCTTAGAACTTCAGATTTCTTACTAAAATTACCAGAAACTGATTATTTTCTGTGCTTGTCTTCAGTTATATAAGGACCTAAAAGACAAAGTAGTATCAAATTATTCCCTTTGAATGTATTGGGATTTTTTTTCCCAGAGGGGTTAGTATTTTTTAGAAGATGTGAATTGAGTTTTTTTCACATTCTAAATTATGCTGAAACCCCTTCAAATCTCACCATTTGATCATGAGTCACCCATTAGAGGAAGGTGCTCCCTAAAGGTGTGATTTTGGCATCTCATAGGCTTCCTTGGAAGCCAAGCACCAGAGGTCTGTGATAAAGGCAGTTGCCAGCCAAATGAATAAAAAGCGAGATTCCAACTCAACTATAAAGGCTTAGAGTCCTGACTGCTGAATTATCACCAACTTGTAAATAAATAATCACTACTAAATACAGATAATGTGTTAAACAGCTAACACTAGTAAATCACTGGTGACAGAGAGCCTAAAGATAAATCCCTCACACCTTGGCACAACCAATTCTTGAACTCTTAGGTTGTTTCAATGTCTTCAGACACATACAGTAGATTGAACAACTAGTCACTCGGAGTTAAGAATGCTTTAACAATAAACTCTACTCTCTTTCTTGATTTCGTGTACATACCTCTTTAGATTTTACTGAGTGGTTATCTGTCTAGTAAGAGAGAGGCAACACTTGGTACAACTAAATGGAAATCAGTTTTCCATCAGATTTCAGCTATCAAGCTAAATCAACCTGTAGTCTCCTGGCAAAAATAACATCATGTAACAGAGACAACACATTTCAGATACATAAATTGTCCAAAATATAGAGAGTCAATTAGGTTTCACATGTACAAGATCCCTTCTTTTCTAATTTAAACATTTACGAATAGTAAAAACCAAGAGTAGAGCTTTGGAAAGGCTGTAACTAGGAACCAAATACAGTTCTCAAGAGAATAAGGCTGATGGGAGTTGTCCACTCTTCCCTCTCAAAGCAATTTTGCAAACGAGGTACAGTCTAAAATCTTGACAGCATTTGACGGAAATATTTTCAGTAGAATTTTTTGAGGTTTAAAATTACAAAACTTAATTTGATTCAGTGTTTGTTTTTGCTTTTGTTTTTGTTTTTAATATAAGGTTTTTATGACATTTATGCTGTTTCTACACTGGCTTGGTGGCCAGAAAAGAAGGCACAGAATTCTCCACCAGTTTGCAAATAATGCATTTTCCTGCTCCAGTGCACAAACAGCCTTTATTTAACTCAGCACCACATTTTCTAAGGTATGGGCTCGAAACTGTTTGCCATGAAGCTGTAAAATGCCAAAACTTTTAAATGCTGAAGGAAAATGTCAATCAAGGCATTTTCCCATCTGCTACTACTTCTGCAAGTGCTAATTTTATTTTTCCCAATTCCTGAAATTTGAGGTTTCTTAGCCTCATATGGAAGTAGGTTTGAAATGTGCTAAATGTCACAAGACAAGGTGTAAGCAAATGAAGGAAATAGAAGGTGTATTGTTCTCAAAGGACACCAATAAAAAGAGCCAGAGGAGCGCTGTGATAAAGGAAAAAACATTTTGTTAAGACCCAGACCTCTTGAAAAACACCACACAATGCAAATAACTAGTGCTGGTACCATACATGCATTAAAGCATTTTCATGTTTTTGAAAGAATGAGAGCACACATTTGAACCACTTAAGATACTTTTGAGAACCAAGCAATGGTATGATATCTACATAGGCAGAAACTGTATGTTATTGAAAAAAACAAGAAGCATGAAGAAGTTTCAGGTATTGGTACAAATGTAATTCATGTGATTTAGCATGACTTTAATAAAAGCTTCTACAAGGACTTGCACATAACCATGACTGATGGATGTATTTTTTTTTTAACCTTTCAGTTAGCTCCATCAGCTCACTCAAACACATTTTGAACAGATTATGTACTGTAGTACTTGGTAGACTATACATTAAACAAGAGACTTTGCTCTGAGGCACTGCTTCCCACACTCCATGGGGAAAAGGAAGCAGGAAAAAACAAAACTCATAGAGTTCGACAGCTACCGAGGCAACACTTGCCATTTACAATATAAGCCCAAATATTTTTGCAACACAACTATATATTAATTTAATAAAATACACAATATAGCTCTTATACACTCAACAATTTGGCTCATATGCACGGAATCTGCAATAAATCAATAAAAATATGTCATTTGATGTAAACACATTGAATCTTCTTACATTTGCACATTTAAATGGTTATGTGATTTGTGTATGTCTAAGACATTTTTACTTTCCTGAGCTATTTTAGTGTCCACAAATGAATAAAATGCATTAATCATATTAAACCACTCAATGGTAACTATTTTTCAGAATTTTCTGTGTCAAATTTAAGACATCTCATCATTATTTATACCTTTGTTGGACACTAAAATGCTATATAGGCATCTTAAATCTTTAAATTGTCTTCTCTTTCAATGAAGTGAATTAGTCTACATGTGTGCAGGACAAAATGGACTATATCTTTTTACATTTAACTTTTATACGGCATGAGGCGTCTTACAAATGACCAATTTTTTTGTTCGTTTTTGTTTTTGACTAATGATATGGAATGTTCTTTGTGTTTATATGTGTGGCAGGTAACTTTATACAGAAATGTTTACCACAAATATGTGTTAATGTTTGGTGTAGCTTGGACTACGGCAAGGTCTTTTCAGGACTTTCAGTAGAAGCCTGTGATGACTACTAGAAATCCACCACCACAGATCACAAATTCGGACCCTGCTTTGTATGGGGTTTATAGGTAAACAGTTAAGTCAGCATAAATCACGGAGGACAGTCTTAAGAGTGATCAGAAATACTTCGATTCTCACACTGCATACCTTCCTAACAGATTGTCAAAAGGTGACTCGCCTCCTCATTCTTCTTGTTCTCTCCTTGTTCTTTCTCTCTCTTTTTTTTTTCCTCTTCTCTCTTTAAGCATCATTAATTCTGTCCTATTATAAGTTTGGTCAAAACAAAACCATTGTTATCTCTGAAAAAGAAACAGCAGTGAAAAGAACATACTTGTGGGCACTTCAGATGTTCACTAAAAGCCTTAGAGCAGCATTGGTCTTTCTTCAATCCCTGTAAAATGGGCTGTCACCAGGAGGGATCATTTTTAAACAGAAGAGACAAGAAAATGCCAATGCCTTTTTTTTTTTTTTTTTTTTTCACTTTCTCACAGCCACAGGGTCATTTCCCCGGCAGTCTTGCAAAAGCTTATCAATTTCTCTCACAACTTCCTCTGCATCCACCGACTCTCTGCCCAGATCCCTGTTGGGATGGTCCAACTGCTCGAGAACAGCGCCCATCTCGCTGGAATCCCGGCTGGCTCGGGAATGCACATCCGCGAAGACCCTTGCCATCTGATCAGAAGCCATGAAGGGAGGGTCTCTTGGTTGCTTACTGGGAGACAGATACTGACTGTCAGTGGGCAAGTACTGGCTGCTTGCTTCGGCCAGGGCTCCTGGTTTTGCTTCGCAGCCATCCAGGGAGCCTTTCGTTGAGGTGCAAGGCTCAATGCATGCCTTGGTGGGGCTGCTTGATGCTGAGGGGACCTCTTGGAGGAGAGGGCTCAGGGCACGTTTGGCTTTTAAATAAGGTTTAACATTGGCAATGAGAATAGTGTGCTCTCGCTTGTCTTTTCCAAATGTACAAAAAGTCTTTTTCCCAGTGGGATTCACAGTTTCGTAAGTCTCAGTCTCAACATTAGCTTCAACTGTGGGTACAAAGAGATTTGTGCGGTAATCTGCATTTTCAGCCTGGTTGGCCGCAGGGAACTGTGGCATCCAACACCTGTCAGAATGACCAAGCACTCGGCATTCGTCTGTGCAATTAACACACTCTTCCGGTTCTGCAAAACAAAAGAGAAAAGAGCAAATCCAATCATTAGAGTTTCCTTTAAATTTCTACAGAGGCTGTGATCAGCTCTCAGTGGGCTTGTTTGACCTCTGCTCTCTTAATTAAAAAGGAAAAGAAAACAATAATTAAAACATTTCAGGATGGTTGCATAAACCTGCTGGTTGAGACAATAGTTTTATTTAAGTCTATTCTCTAGATATTAACGAATTCCCATAGCCTGGGAAGAAGCAAAAAGCGGCCACTGGAGAATCATTCTCAGTAGAATAGAGCATCACTGTAGTCTGCGCTCCTGGGGATATCAGTCAGTCTTTGTTCTCTATAACTCATCCTAGAAACAGGGCACTTCAAAAGGATTATCAGGATTATTTTTTCCAGATCAAATAACAAGGCAAAAACTGGAATGCAAACTTCCATAACAAGCCCTAAACTGTTCTATTGCTATTTTGTTTCTAATTGTTATTTTGGAGACAATCATGAAATAAAGGGTTTCCTTTAAAAGCCAGGTTTTCCTACTGAGAATGGCAAATGGAATTTTTCATCAAAATATATTATGAATAAGCTTGTCAAAAAGTGCACACTATGATTTTATTAGCTGTGCATATGGGTCATGTAATCAGTTTTCTTCACTTTAGCTTTTGTTTTTGGTGTGAGCAGGTGAAAATGGACTTACTCAAATGGTATAGTTGAGAATTAAAGACAAATCACAATTTCCTGTTTTAAATAATAATGCTTTCAGTATCAACTTTTACTTTTCTCCTTTACCAACAGACATTTAGAGAATCTAGGTAAAGACTTCTTCAGTGGTCCTTATCGCAAAGATGCTTACAAGGAAATGCAAAAAAAAAAAAAAAAATGCCTTCATCCCAACAACAGCTTCATATTTCATTGACCCCAACATTTTAAAACATGACTTCAGATGAAATCTTCCCAGTTGCCTCTTTCCTCTGCGTGGCTGTTCCGTTACATTTAGTGATCACTTTAAAATCTGGGACTTTCTCTTTCAGGAGAGGATATTTACAAATTACCACTGTCTGATAGGAATAGAATTCCCTATCTATTTAGGATCCCTTGGGATTGCCTTTAGTTGATACTAGATGATCCTTACAACTTCATAGTATCCTGTGCAAGGAAAAAAAAGTCCACATAAAATTTACTTACAGCAGAAGGTAGCGAATTTAGGAGCACGGATAACTTTACGCAATTACTTCTCAGTCACAAATGAAATGTTAATTTAAAACACATAAATATAATTCCTTATCAAAAAACTCACAACTGTTTTATCTCAAAAGGTTTTAGAATTGAATATTTTCTTAGGAATTTTTTTGGGAAGGAATCAAAGCAGTGTCTTAACATCAAAAAATGCTATAGTGTTTCACACTATGTGTCATTCACACTTGTAAAGTGTTAAAAATATATTTAGTTTAAATGATAACTTATCTCTACATTAATTTTGTCACTTTTAAAAGAAATATATTCCTATGAGTAAATAAAAATCATTATTGAGTGTGTTATACAATACTGGCGTGAATGTTGAAAAACAGTCTGAATCTGAACAGACACAAATAATATATATATGATTTGAAACATTATTATATGACACCAACAGCAGCAGAAGTGGAGAGGCATATAACATTTTCTAAGAAGTCTTTTAAATATATTCATATTACAGCTGAGATCAAAGAAGCAAAAAGATGTCAGAAAACTTCAATATCAGATACCTGTTTTTTTTAATCTACATTCCATGGGAATTATAAATATCACCTCGATCTATATTTGTCAGTAAGCACTGGAAGCAATGATATCATTTCATCCGACCAATTTAATCATTCAAAAAGACAGTAGAAAACTTTAAAATCCGTTTCACTGGATAATAAATTTAATATCTTTTACAGCCATGATTTTTTTCTTAAATTCATTTACAACCAATATGCTGTCTTTGAAATATGCTAACACCCTTTTATATTCTAATATTGACTGGCCTTCCATTTCAGTTACTTGGATAGCCAGTGGTGAATGAATTCAATATGAATTTAAGAAGCAAGAGAGACAGAATAATGCAGATGTATGAAAGTAAGAATCGACCTTGAATTTGAAACCACCAACATAAAATGATTGTTTGCACTTCATTGCTGAAAATCTGCAGCTTTTTACTTGACTCCTTTATGTCACATCCCAGGAAGCAAATTTTGAGTATTGATTATGATACATTATAAGCTGTTCACCTTGTGATTAGACTGTAATTTTGACAGCAGCAGTTCACAGACAGTGAAGAAAATCGAATGGACCCTTTTGTACAAACAGCAGAAACTATGAGCACAAAGTGAACTGGAACTGCGAAGGGTCAAGTGAGAATTTATGGAGAGTAGAATCATTTGTAAAGAAACATAAATAGATGCATAGGTAGGTGCAGGTAATGTAATGAGTGACTAGGCAAACAGAAAAAGTCAGACAAAATGAATATGGTAGAAAGAAGACAAGAGCAGTGAAGAGGGAGAAGAGGATAGAGGGAGAAAGACACTGAGGGATTGAGGGGGACAAGGGAGAGAAGGAAGAAGGGAGGGAAGTGGAAGGGATAGAGAACAGGAAGAGTTTATGGGAGATGAAGTAAGCGGAAAAGGGAATGGGGCAAGCAGGCTGCCACAGAAGCTAGAATTTAAGACTAGATGAGTTGCCCTGGGAGTATCTCTGCTACCCATACCTTCTATTATAGTTTTTAGAATCCTTTTAATAAGGTAATTGAGCATAATAAATAATAGTGTAAAGTATTTTCTCAAACACCCACAGTTTTTAAAGTAGATAATCAGTGTTCAGGGAGAATGAATCCAAGAATGGATATTTGATTGTAACCTATAGACATGAAAAAAGTGGGGCCAGCACTGTGGCATAGCAGGTAAAGCCGCTGCCTATGGTGCCTGCGACCCCCCCATATGGGCACCGGTTGGAGCCCCAGCTGCTCTACTTCTGATCCAGCTCCCTACTAAATCGCCTGGGAAAGCAGCAGAAGATGGCCCAAATGTTTGGGCCCTTGCACCCATGTGGGAGACCCAGAAGAAGCTCCTGGCTTCTGGTTTTGGACTGGACCAGCTCCAGCCATCGAGGGCATTTGAGAAGTGAACTAGTAGATGGAAGATCTTTTCCCTCCCTCCCTCTCCTTCTTTCCCCCTCCCTCTCCCTCTGTCTCTCCCTCTCCCTCTCGCTCTGTCCCTCCCCCTACCCTTTACTCTGCCTTCCAAATAAGTAAATAAATCTTTAAGAAAAATGAAAAAAGAAACAAATGGTCTTGATAGTGACTATTTGCATACATTAGATAATTGTGTCATAAAACAAGTTCAGAGAACCTGGATAAAAGAAATTAAAACAAAATAATTGATTCAGTATTCACTATTTTTTTTCCTTTATGGTTTTATTTTCATCCTTTCCTCAATAGAACAATATCATCCTTTCACAAAATTCACTCCTTACCAAGAAAGAAGGCACAATTCAAATGGTATGCAAGTGAGAGAAACTGAGAAACACATATGTTTATATTGCAAACAAAAAACAATCTGAAGCCCCATAGATGTAACTCTGGGCAGTTCTGCCTATGGGGAAAGATTTAGAGTGTCTAATCTTTTAAATGTATAATTACCTGAAGTATCATGTGGCAATCAAGTAACTTTAAACACTTGTTTAGTATTAATGATCATTTTCCTCGCTCCTATAGCTACATTGATTATTATAAATGCTCCCAAAGGGAAATATTTAAATTCAGTAACCATAGTTAGTTTAATTTTGCATCTTAATATATACAATATTTTTACTAAAGGTATAAGGTAATTCAAATGACTATCGTACTTGCAGATCAGCAGCAACATAAGTCATACACCCACACACACACATACACACACACAGACACATACACGTACAGGGTTTTTTGTATGTGTGACATAAAATTAAGCTTTTCCCAAGATATTGCCTCTCCAAAATCTTAAATTCACAGTCTATGAATTCCATAACATTGACTGTTAGTGCTTGCCATAAGAGAAATACAGGTGAATTAAAGGGAAAATGCTATATGCAATATAAGGAATTCCATATAGTAAAAGACAATATTTTATTAATTCAAAAAAATTGTATTTTTATGCTCTCTACATTGAATATACAGATTGAGTTCTGGATTCCTGGCTTCAACAATCTTGGTTGCTGTGGGCATGTAGGGAGGCAACTAGCAAATGCAAGATCTCTGGGCCAGTGCTGAGGCTCAATAGGCTAATCCTCCACCTGCGGCGCTGGCACTCCGGGTTCTAGTTCCAGTCGGGGCTCCGGATTCTGTCCCGGTTGCTCCTCTTCCAGGCCAGCTCTCTGCTATGGCCTGGGAGTGCAGTGGAGGATGGCCCAAGTGCTTGGGCCCTGCACCCACATGGGAGACCAGGAGAAGCACCTGGCTCCTGGCTTCGGATCAGTGCTGTACGCTGGCCACAGCAGCCATTGGAGGTTGAACCAATGGAAAAAAGGAAGACTTTTCTCTCTCTCTCACTGTCCACTCTGCCTGTCAAAAAAATAAAATAAAAAAAAAAGGAAGATCTCTGTCTCTCACTCTGCCTTTCAAATAAGATGAAAAATAAGTAAATAAAAAAACACATATACATATATGTGCAAATATATTGTACAATTTTACACCTAAAAGTATCAATAGATAACATTTTAATCTTTTCCTACAATTATGGATGTGAAATCTGTGATTAGATCAACAACTTTACATCTGATTTTAGAATTTTATGTAATTAAAATTGATTTGGACATAAAGACACTTGTAATATGCAAATCCACAATTGCTGATGTATCTGAAATTTCTATCTCCTCTCCCTGTTTAACTTAGAATAAGAAATTTAACAACAACCTTTTTGATATCAGAAAACATATCATTTGTGCCAAAATATACTGTCAAAAGAATTATATCACCATGGAACTATTCTAAAGTTATATCTAGGTAACTAAAAATGTCCTTAGATA